TCACGACAAACGACAAGAATGTAGAACATGTGCCTATATTATTCAACGGCAAAAGATAGGCCAGTTGCTAGTTCAACAGCGGTTAACACCATAATACTGCTGGTGCCAAAGGCGGCAAAGAACCGAACAACGGCGGTAAGATGACCTATTCCATAATTCAAGGAACTGATATCCTACCGGGAGACATGTCGTACCTCTAGCTGAAAGAAGCCGTTGCTGTCGATGCAGTGTTCCGCTCCTTCCAAAGTAGGCATCGTGGGTCTTCCGCCGACAGCAACAAGAATGTGGTCGGCGGTGTATTCCACTCCTTCCACTTGCACCGTTTTGGGCCCAACGAAGGAGCCATACTGCACAGAAACAGGTACCAACGTGTATATCCATCAACCAACCGCCAGACGGCAAGATCGTAGGATATATAAAGACGGGAGTCGGATACGGTGGCGAATCGGCTACACAAGGTGCTCTCACAGCTCGTCCCCGTCCCGCCTCTGCATATATCTGCCTGTTGTGTCAGCAATCTTTCCGATAACATGATTTTGTCGCGGTTTGTAGCTGTAAGTGCACCAAGCACGTCTACAGCCAACACTCTAGATACGTGGACAGTCTATCGACCGGACACTCACACCCTCGATGATCTCCACCCCAGAGTTCCCCAGGTTACGCTCGTATATGCCGTTGAGGCGGGTGATGTACGTGTCGCGGGCTTCCTTGAGGGCGGGCCAGTCGACCTTGCCAGCAGACGTGACCACGCCGAAATTTTTCGCCTCGTTGACCATGTCCATCACATGGGCACTATTCCACATGACCTTTTTGCGGGAGAGGAAACGTCACGCAGGTGAGACGTAGGAGGTGTGTCGTAAGTGTGGTTAACGGGGAATTTGTTGACAGGCGGCATTCGCCGCAATCGCTTCGACAAAATGTCAGCAGTGTACGAAAGGGTTTCATGCAAAAATGACCGGCTTCTCGTCCGTACCTCGATTCGATTACAACCCAAAATGCATGGGCCTCTGAGGAACATAACGGTTGAATAATGAAAACGCTACAGCGGTTCTCTTCTGTGCAGCAGCAGCGGAGCTACGTACGGTCGAGGGTTGCGCACAAGAACACCTCTACACAGGCTGCAGCGTGCCTGATTCTAGACTACTGCTGTTAATCTTTTTTGTGAGACTGCAGTACCACGATGGTTTGAACCAGCGACAGTGAACTTTAGAACACTTCGAGGATACCTTTCGAACACAAAAGGTGACCCGTTGCATAAGAGTCGAGACATGGTTCGAGACATGGTTCCCCCCCTGCACCGGTGTGTCTGAAGTTGGGAGGAAACAAACGTTTCGATCGATTGACCCGTCAAGTCTCTTTCTTACCTTCTTCGGGACGCAGCCAACATTCACGCAGGTTCCACCCATAGCACTTGCCTCGATCACAGCCACCTGAGGCAAAACAATCAAGCTATCGTCAGAGACAAAATGTGTATACTAGTACAAAGAGACGAAAGGTGTTACACAAGTACAGCAGTGCGCATGCCACTACCGATAGACGAGCAAAAAGAGGCGGCCAGGTGTCCTTTCTTTGGTGCGTTTTGATCCCGTGTGGTCATGTGGTCATGTGTTCATGTTTTCAAAAAAAATACAAGTAGTTTCACTACGTTGTTGTGGCTGGCAACACACCTTGGCATCATATGTCGCAGCTCGGCGGGCACTAGATACCCCCCCAGACCCACCCCCTATCACTAAATAGTCAAAGTGCTCGGCGGAGGCCATGCAAGGAGTCGCCCGCGTCGCTCCCCCACGGCTTAGCAGTCTTCGAGAAGTTACAGCTATTGGGGATGTCCGTCGCAGAGCCGCGCCCGCCGCGAAGTGATTCATAGTGAAGGATGAAGCCCCGCAGGCAAGAGATGCAAGCGTGAGGCCTCTCAGGCCATGGAGAGATAACATGGCAGATGTGCGAGGTGGGAGGGTAGATTTGGACAGCAGGCCGTGGGTTCGGTGCGCTCTTGAGAAGAGGGAGTTCGATATTTTCGAGAAAACGTTCGCGGTTGACACCTCGGAATCGGTTTCGTTTCGCCCGACGACTCACAGAGCTGACTGACGTGTTGCTCTGATCTCTTGATCGCATCTTGGTGTTTGATCACAGCAAGTGTGGATTACGAGTTACTACCCGTTTGACATAATGCTCCAGTCGAAGGGATGTGATATATGATCTTTGCAGTGAGTGGGGAAAGTATCTGACACAACCTTCGAAGGCGCTAATCAAACTACTACTTGTATAGAATAGGCAAGACATACTACAGCAGTGTGTAGTAGATGGTGTCGTGCTTGGCGCACACCACCCGCCGCAGTCCGTAGGGTTTTCGAAATTAAGTATTCGAGATTGTCCCTTTTTAAGGATGACCCCGATGCGTCTACGATGCTTGACGAGCACCACGGCAGCCGTGGGCCCGATACAACGGTGCGCTACTGCTGTAGCCTACATACCCTACTGTGAACTCACGGGAATCACCACGACAGATATCTACACACATACATAAAGATGAAAGGTATATCCTGTGTACTACTACTATTCTACAAGAATCATGTAGACTTGGAAAAGCGCGGTCCGAATGGTTTTTTGATGTAGACAACACAAATACCAAGAGTAGGTGAGTGTGGACATACGGGTATGCTGTATCTGGTTGAACTGAACTATTTACCTTCAGTAATATATAACTACAGCATGTATGTATGTACTACTACGGACTACTACTAATAGTTTCAATAACTACCGCTCGCTCTCATGCTGACAGAGTAAAATATAAGGTGAGCAAACAAAGGTGTTCACCCTGCGGCTTGCTTGTAGAGTTGGTTTTGCGAATCACCGCCCAGCAGTCCGGCTAGATATATGCATGCCTACGATGATGGTCCATTAGATTTATTCTTCCTGCATTTTTGTCGCAGGGTTATGTGACTAAATAAATATATAATCAGTGGACTCATAGCAGTGAGGGGTGTGCCCTTGCATAGGTCTCAGGTGTTCAGGAGGACCCGATTCGAAGGGTATCCGTCGATTGACTTTTACCAGCATCGTCGGTATGTACTGTATATACACACCTACCTTCGCATACATATAATATGGCGTCATCTGCAGGAGGAGGAGGACACGGCACGGCTGGGTTCGAATCTCCTTCCTTGTGTTACACATTCATTTTTGTCCTGACTTACTTGACCTTTTCCCATGGATACCACCAACAATAATATTGTGTTTCAGTCCTGAGAGCACCTCTTGAAGTCGCTCCTACCAAGGGTGTGTGACACCTCTGTCAAATTACTACCCGTCCTGCCCCAATGGGTTCCCAGTTGTGAGGGTAAAAACTCTGTGGGTTGTTGTTGTTGTTGTTGTTGTTGTTGTTGTTGTTGTTTTCTTCCAATCATGAATAACCGTTCCGTCCGTTCGTTCCGGTCTCCGTTCAGTACCTTCTAAAGTCCGTCTGGTCCAACTCATTGACGCGGACGCCTTCCGCTGTCACAATCCAACTGCCCCCAAAGGGGGGGGTACACCTTTCTGAAAAGAAAAAAGTCAATTGTAAGGACCCCAGAAAAAAACCTCCAACGCGCGATTTGTTTTCTACCCAACGAACAAACTAAGGAAAACTAACCGGGATACAGACGATCGACTCCGTCCGGTCAAAAGAGACGAAAGGACGAAAGACGAAGAAGGAAATAATAGAAATAGAGAAAGACAAAGGAAACAAAAAGTGAGATAGACAGGTCCCCTCCAACGCTCCAGTCTACCGGGACAACAACGAAATAGGCAACTACTAATGCGACACCAAGCAGATGTCTGACTTCACGACGAGAATAACATCACTTCGGGGGCACAGCGCGGGGGGGCGGGTTAGCGACGCGACGGAAAGAAATACTCCGTGGGGTGGAGAGTGTTAGGGAGAAGGGCCCGATTCGCAGGGTATCCGTCGATTGACGTTTAACAGAAGAATTGGTACACCTTCGCGTAGGCAAGAAAACTTCGGGTGGGAAGCGGCGTGCTACCGGAAGAAGAGGGTTCTGCAACACCCCCCGGCTTTCTATATCGCACGGTGCTTTTTTTTTACTTGTAGTGTGTGTTGATATTGCGCGAATATACAGTTAGCGCCCGCCTTTAAAAAACGTCAATTCATTTTGGGTCGAGGCTCAATTTTTCATTTCGTTACCGCGGTCGAGCATATGTCACTATGATTGAAGAGTGAGTTTGGTGTAGGATCCACGGCTGGCTGAGGTGTGTTCATTGTTCGATTTTTTGTTTCTCGCCAAAATTTAAGTTTTGTTTGCCGTTTTGTAAACGCCGGTCGCCCCGGTGGTCTAGTTGGTGTCTTCGAAACCATCTAGAGGTCGGGTCAGGGGTTCGAATCCCGGCGTAAGCGAGCTTTTCTTGCAAAGCGAGTTTTTCTCTCGCTTCCGCTTTTGGCCTAGTGGATAGCGCTAGCTAGTAGTACGTGTGTACACAGAGAGAAGAGAGTGCTGAACTCTTCTTCTCTCATTAAAGATCGAAGGCAAAGTACCGCAGGAGGGGACGGTAGAGAGAGGCTCTTCTGTGTGACCACGGGCTGGAGTAAACGGCACTACTAGCGCTGATTTGAAGTGAAGAAAAAAAAAATCACGGGCGAAATAACTGCTGTATCGCAAGGTGCATCTACTTTATCTATTTTTTACGTAGTTAATCGCCGCGGGCACGTATCAACAGGGCTCCAACAACAAAATTAATTGTGGGCGGGCAGCTACTCCTTCTATCGTAGGATCACCTAACAAAATCTTTTTCCCGATCTAAATAGAACATCGGACCATCCTGCGCTATCTCTGTTGCTTCTTATGTGGTCGCCCACTAGTTGCTGTTCTCCGGTCACGAGGTATGTTCGGGTCGCCCCCATGGTATAAATAAGCAATCATTCTCGTATCCTTTGGACGTGTAAAGTCATCCAGAAGCTCGAATCCCTGCCGTAACATTGTTTAAAAGGCGCATACTCGTGAGCATACCAAGTCCGACAAATAAACATGTCGACAGGGAAATGATAGCTAGACCTCTATCTCACGATAACGTTGGCAAGTATCGCAATACCGGCTAGGTAAAAAGTATCAAACGTCCGTTTCTATGTGGCGCAGAAAAAAGAAAGGGCATGGTGTAATTCGTTTGCCACCACAGTCAGTCAACGCCCTGAACACGATTTCCCCATTCATTCTTGTAAACACGCGAGCCTTACTTCCCAACCGCGGTTGTATCAAGATTAAAGGGTGGGGCGCTTCCATCTGTTTTCTAAGTGCTTTGACCCTTTTCCGAATCTATGAAAGTTCCATCGCACAAATCCAGAGCGCTGCAGTACGTTCTTCCACCGTACATGTAGTCGAATGGAATGCACCGTACACAAAAAGATCACTTTTTCAACTCCAAACAAGCGCGGCTATCTACAAGGCAGCCTTAGAATCGATGCACCAGCCTGTGGTCGAAGTGACCAATCCCTCGTAACGCTCAACGCCATATTGTATATATTGATGTGGCTTTTTTTCTTTCCTTGTGCATTCGTCAACGATCCGTGTAGAAACTGTTTTCCTACTGCTGAGCGTACTGCCTGTGTTCGCCGTTGTCAGTTCAGTTTGTGTACCGATCCCCTCGGTGTGGTACTTGAAGGGAGCACTCCTTACACAAACACAGCACTCAACTTCGAGGATATTTCATCCTAGAGTGTGCCCCTGCTCCAGAAGCTTGGCAACGGTACAATACACGACTCCGGTGCTTTTTGACACTAGCCACCACACCAAGCCACCACAGAGGGTTCCAGTACAATGTGCCCTAAGGCACCACCACGCAGTATTCAACTTAGGGGGAAATACGCCCGGTGAAAGCTATTTACTCTTGTTCTTGCTACTCTCGCCATCTTTCTTCCTGCGGGGCTCGTCCTTATTCTTGTCCTCCTTTTTGTCCTCCTTCGGGCGGCGATCTCTCTCTGTGCCGTCATTATCCTTCTCCTTCTTAGTGCTTCCGTCTTTTTTGCTGCTTTTTTGCTTTCCGCTATCCCCGTTCTTGTCGTCCAATCTGTCGGCGTTCCCTGAGGAATCGGCCACTTCATCCTCTGGGGCTTCTTCTTCTCCGTCCAGATGTAGGCGACTTGGTGCTTGGATGTGGACGTTCAGCTTCCCGCTTATGCTCACATCAGGGTCCATACTAAGGCTATAGCATGTGATATTTCCGATCACAATAGCCGAGCGGCGAAGGCGTACCCTCTCTGCCTGAATATTGCCGACCACCGTGCCATCCGATACGACCTGGTGAGCAAAATCAAAAGCAACATCAGAGCACAGTTATCCTCGCCACTTCAATCTTCAGCATGAAGTGACACGCAGGTCTACGGGCATGGAGTAGTGTACCTCTCTGAGGTGGTCGATGTTGCCTCGAACAACCCCTGTTGCTCCTATCACGAGATCTCCTGTCGACACCAACTGCCCCTTGAAGGATCCGTCCACCCGAAGAAGCCGGTCAAATGATAGCTCGCCCTGAAAAGTGTTGTACAAGTTGTGGGTGGCCGATACTTGCATCGGCGTAGGGGTTGCTGAAAGACGATACCAATGCAAAACAATGGCTGCATCATCGTTTACTCACAGGGCTGCTTTCACATCGTCGTAGTGATATAAGGGCCATCTAAGGACGCTGAAGAAAATGTATGTTATATGGTGTGTGCGAGTAACCGCCACGAGGCTTCTATCTCATACCTGGTGTGCGTGCAAACGTATATGTAGACGAACTACATGTTGTGGCTGAATAAGTAGGTGGTTGAGAGAGCCACTAGGTCTCCAGCGCAAGCCCACTGAGGAAAGCCGAGCAACGTGCGAGCTCATGGAAAGCTGAATGGTACGACGAGTGAGTTGTGGGAAACACCGTGCCACGGGACCGGGTTGAGGATACACAGTGGGCGCCCGCAACTAAGAAAATTTGTGTCTCAAGAAGATGAGCTCATCTCTATCGCGAACATCAGACGAAAATACTAACAAACACAACACTCACGGTAAATCCTACACTAAACTCTATATAATAACCTGGACTCGACATTGGCGGCGAACTAAGAAATGGGGTCTCGACCCGAATTTGTGTTTTCTGTCTCCGGGTATCAACTGTACCAATGTCCACCCCAGACCCAACGCAAATATGCGGACTCTCACCTTCACGTGGACATTTTCCCCAACAGTTGTCTCCGGCGTCTCCGCCTGCGCAAGAGTGACGGGCACGTGCCACCACAAGAAAAATCTCGGATGTTCAAGAGCTCTTATATGTGTATGTACCAAGTCTATTTAATGGTGTTCTTTTTCCTTTTCTCTGCAGGAACAGCGTTTTTCTCACACTTTCTTCTGCATGGCACTCAGAGGACCCATCGGTACATTCCCCGTTGCGTGTGGGGCTCGCTAGACATCGGTGGTGCGCGTGATGGCCGCTCAAAAGTCGCTGGCACTGGCTCTATTCCAGGGGCCGCGATTCCGAACCAAAAACGCCTCCATGAAAACCGTAACTAAATTTCTATGTAGGCGGGCTGTTGTTCTTATCGCACACATCACGATCACACCAGCAGTTAGTAGTAGACATCCACACAGGAAAACGGTGCAAACAAAAGGAAGAGCAGGGGGGGGTGGTAGAGCAGCAATATTGTAAAACGCGCTGCCCGGCTATCCCACACAAGGACATAGGCGATGTGTACTGTGTACTGCTGCTGTGGTGCATCACAACAGTGCAACAACAGTTCTCAAAAAGTCAGAACAGTAGTTGGCTCCGGTAGGCCGTATTTTCTCGCAGTTCACACACATCACGTTCACCCGTTGTAGACGCCCACATAGCAAGGCGGTGCATACTCAACACGGTACAAACACAAGATTCAGCAGTAGTGTTGTGGTACAGCAGCATTCGCATTACATACATAGCTGAACGCGGCTATCGCAGGCCACACAGATGATGTGCACACAACTGTTCTATTATAATAAAAAGCACAACAGTTATTGGCAGGGTATTTTTCGATGCGGTTTCGAACCTCGGCAACATTTATAGTGTAAAACGCTGCAGCTTTCTCCCTCACGTTCATGTTACTTCTATGTAGGTCGATTGTTATGCTATGTTTTTTTTGCATCTGCGTTTACCCGAATATTTCCGTAAGAACGTTCTGAGAGCGAGAAGAGACAGAATGTGCATTGCCCCGATCGTAGCAGGTTGGAATACTTTAGTCAATGCGCGATGGCAGTGATTGTCTGCCTCCAAATAGAAAGACGGCACAGCAGTTCAGGTGTTTTTAGGTCTTTTCGCCTTGCGTCACCCCCGGGAGGCATGCTCCGACCTCCCGGAACGGGGAACCTTGTATGTATATACTGGCGAGATCCTTTGTTCGACCATTAGTTGAACATTGGCTTTGTCGGCGTTGCAGAAGCCTACTGTAACGACACATGTAGCAGCGAGTCCATCATACACCCCCATACAGCAATGGCACTGTAATAGGAGTCTTTCACGATACGAAGAACAGCTCGACAAAGGCGTGGATCTGTGGACTCTGCAGAGGCACCGACACTCTCTAGTGGGTTGTCACGCCAAAGAGTACCGTAAGCTCGCGAGTCACCGCATAGTCCGGAGTCTTCGCACGGTCCGGAGTCATCGCACAGGGGTGCGATGCAAATTCAACGGCTCAATGATGTAATTCGATTTCCGCACGGGGTCCGGAGTCACCGCACAGGGGTGCGATGACTCGCAACCTACAGCAGTAGGGTAGTTGAGTGCCAACGAACTCGGGGCAACTTTCACCCCTGCAGGCATGTTAGCTCTGCTGTATGGGTAGGTCATCGTCGCACACCGCACGTGGAGGTATGAAGAAAGCGAAACTAACGCGTCAGCAGAGGAAGGGTCGTCACCACGAGCCCCTGAGATCGCGGTACTCCCCGTACCTGAAGCCTCCGACATGATTGCCAAGCGATTGTGTGTCGCGTGTAGCCACTACTCGACGGCGGGAAATTAGTTGTTTTATATTCTTAATATCGCACAACGAATCCATATCTATCTATAGAAAAGAGAAGAGAAATGAATCCATAGCGTCAGCGGAAGCTATTTACACCTGTTTTCCGCCCACGGGATTTCGTATTTCGCCGCACTTTGTTGGTGTCTGTGTGTTTCTCGAAAATCTAGCATCCACCGGGCCAACTGCTGTGGTTGACTGATGTGCACGTGTGTGTGTACGTTGCGTGTGGAGCCTGTAACCGTAGCACAACTGAGGTGTCCGTGCGTCTGCAAAGTTTTTTCGAGTTCCGCACACACCGGAGATACCGCACAGGGGTGTGCGTTAAAAATTCTTGATGATAATCGCCTTCAGGGTTTACTCAGGATCGCATATACTGGAGTCATCGTACAGGGGTGTGCGTTATATCTCAAAACCAAAACAATTTCATTCGGTTTCCGCACAGGGTCCGAGTCGTCGCACAAGGGGTGTGACGCAAATTAAATGGCGAAAATGTTGAAAAAATGACCGCACGGGGGTGCGCTGACTCGCAACCGTACGGTACTGTACTCTTCCACGTCAGGGTGGGAATATGATGATGCTGAGTGTCTTCTCTCGACAGAGGAGCAGGTTTATTGTGGGACCCTTTTTCTTTTGACGTCCGCACAAGCACAGCGCTAATTTAAATGGTGTTGCTTGTATGACCTGAATTGTTGCTTGCAGAACTATCCGTGTGCGGAATAGACCATCTGGGACAGAGCAATGACTTATCGTCAGCGTAAAATGAGTGTCAACGTCCGTCTCAACAAGCCATTCTAATATCACAGTAATCCGTAAACAGAGATGAGCAAACAAGATGAAAAATACTCTTGTGTGTTGCCTTGCGCCACCTGTGAGACACGTTCAATGGTAGCGGTACTTGCAGACATGAATCTCCTGGTTTTCCGACACCGTGGTTGCCCAATCCATACCCTCTCTTGGTTTAGTGACCCGATGTTCGTTGACGTCGAATGCACCAAGTTTATGGCATCATCGTGGCCGCCTTGATGATACACGGCGTGCCAATGCCTCACGTTTCCTCGCGGATCCCAGCAACCCAGCATACCGTTTGCCCAGAATGAGCGATATAAACGGCCAGCACTTTGCCCTCCTCCAAGTTGAAAATATATACGGCCAGAAGAGCCTTCTATTTTCAGTCGGTCTAGTGTGAACCTTGAGTGTTGAGAATGGTCTCCACAAGAAGTACGTACATGCCCTTATTCGAGTAGTCCTGTCCCCGGTGACTGACCCTCTTCGGTTTACTTGCAGGGCTACTCATCTCCATGATCTAAGCTGGTAGTTGTTTGTGGATGTCAGCCGTAGGATCTATGGCGAGGCTTGCGATTTTTGACGGTAGAAGTATGCATAGCGCACACAACCACGATTTGGGCTACAGGGTTCGATCATTAAGTTCATCCTAAGACTCCTCCTGCCACCTCACCCGAATCTAACGTCAACACAGCATAGTCTAACGATGATGACAAAGTCAAACGTGGGTGCTGCAATTCAGGATGAATCGTTTGGACAAGTGCAACAGTGTGATATTAGGTGGGGTCAGAGGGTGACAATATACAAGTAAATAGAGATATGCCGAACTTCTCCAAATCTATCTGTGTCTGTCTAGTGTTGATCCCATTCAATGTTGTTGTCTTGTGTCTCCGTTGTACAAGTTAATGCGAGAGGTTGCAAGAGAAGGAGTACAATCAACCAAGGGATCGCAGCAAACAACCTGCGTACATCTGTGTTCGGATGTGCTCTGAACAACGCTGGATATAGACTACATACCGGTAAGAGATTAACCCTTTTGAGTCTTCAGGCGTTCTCACTGATCATGATTGATCATTTGCAAATGCTGGTGTAGTGGCAAGTCGTGGAGTTGCCGCCCTGCAGCCGTTCGCGCCGTGTATTGGCAAGTCCATAGGTAGGTGTGTCTAGATTATTAGCACCCGCGCTAACCGGCTGACCAATGAAGAGACTTCAGTGACAGCGGCGGGTAACATCAAGGTCTCGGGAATGGGAATGGGGCCAATCAATGCCAAATCATGAATCTCTCAACGTATGCACATGTCAATGAACGCGTGTGTGCATACATACATACATACATATGTCTTCTTTCGCAGCACCACACATACACTCGCCCGAACGTAGGAAGCCACTGCTGCTGCAAAGAGAGGGCAGCAAAAGGGAGGGGTATTGCAATCCCTGCCGAAGCCCAGATATCGAGGATATCGTGGTTCCCAACAATTTGAAAATCGTTTCCAAGATCCAGCAGTCAATGTGTCAGCAGCTACAACGAACGCTACAACAACACTACTACTACTGCTGTAGACGAGTAAAACATATCAGCAACACATCCACACTCGTAGCGCCACACATACCACCCTCGCCCGAACCTAGGAAACCACGAGGTACAGGTGTGTGCTGGTGGATGTGCTTGTTGTTTGAAAAACACAGGAGCTCTAGAGAGCTGGCAGGGCACATTTCGGGGGGGGACAGAGAACAGAGAAGTAAGAAGTACAAATACCAGCTATGGGTCTTGACTGATCATTTTGCCCTCTCTGGACTGATCATTTACAATATACCGAAAATAGACTAGTTGAGGCAGCTAGACGACTGATCATTTCAAAGTCTACACAGCTAACCTGCCCTACTGACCGCAGCGCGACCACCCATCAACCCTTCTACGACCCTGTCTGTGGCCACCACCCTGTCGCCGGCTTCTCTCATGGCCTACAGTTGGAGATAGCTGTTGCGTGTGCAGAAGTACACTGGTGTCTTTCTCTGCACTTCTCTCTCTCCCGCTCGCTCTCGCTCTAATATTTTTTTTTTGGCGCAAAATGTTTTTTGACAGTCCAGCCTAGACCCAAAGGGGTTAACAGCGTTGCCTAGCGTCGTTGGACTTCGACTTGACTTTGCATGTCGATCGAACTCACCAAAATATTACGAGGTGCGGGCGTGGCGTACGATGCAGTTTCCTCTATTATGTCCTGGTTCCTGTCTAGCTCGCGCTCTCCAAGCCTTCGAGGCACCTGGTCGCACAGGAAGCATAAAAGATAGTGAATCGACATGAAGCAGAGTAGTTACATACAACATTGATGCTGTTGTTGCTACAGACGTTGCCGGTGTATGTACCGCAGAAGAAAACTCGTGGGTTATCTGGTCGAAACAGCACGCTATGAAATAAAAAATGGTACACGTGCACTACACTAGAAGGGGGTCAACTGACGGATATGTGGCCTCTCTCTCCCGTTCTGTTGACATGAACTCACGTGATACCCGGCTCCTGCAGATGGCTGGAAGTAGCACGTTACACCGACAAAGAAAGAAAGGTCCAGAATGTGGGAGGGTTTGCGGGTGGGAAGGTGGGCGTGAGTAAAGCTGCGATACAACGAAGCCACAAGGAAAGTGGACCACAACAAACAAGCCGAAACGAGGCTTGTCTTGGGTGGGCAGTCCCACGGTGATGTTTCGTATATAGTCTACGGGATGAACAGGAACTACACATCACCTCCGAGCGATCGTCGTGGTAGGCTGGCGCTATTCGTTTCCCTCGAGGAGGCGGCGGCGGTCCTCCGGAGCGAAGCTCCATGCAGCAGCCCCCGACACCAAACTTACACGGTGAATAGAGAGAAGAGAGGCAGAGATAGTAGACGAGAGGCGTGTGGTGTTGGGTGGAACGTTGCGCCCGCACTGCTGTGCATGCGGTGAGATAGATGCCGGTTCACCTTTTTTGTTCCGGAACCCGGAACCCCTGCTCCCTGCTCCCCGCGTTGAGATGATGAACCCTTTATTTTTAGCTGCAGGGAGCCGGCTGGGATGTCGAGTGGGAGCAATGCGCTCTATCTACCAATCTATGTCCGTCACATCGCATGCGATGTGTGACTCTGTACCCGACGCTATTATTGTATGTACTCATACGCGCATAGACAACTCTTTCCGGAACATTATTACTATTAGGAAAAATAATACACACGAAAGAAAGACAATAATACCCATCCATTCGAGATTTACAAGATTTACCCACACCGAATGGGATGTGGTGGAGTCTTTTCAGTGAGTGGAGGAAAACCATGTATGCGCATAGACTACTACATACAGTAGTGGGGCTTGTATAACAGTGCCGGCCGAACAGTGCCGGGTGCCCGGTATAGTGCCGGTCTGTGTGTTCGGCTCGCACACACAAATACCAACTTTGAATAGAGCCAGTGTCCGGAATACTTGGACCGGTAAAATCTCTGTACACGTACCGGCCCTTTACCTGGGCCCACTACTACTACTAGTACTGCTGTACTATTGTAAACAGTGTTTTTTTCATTTTTTTTTCTCTTGGTTTTCGGGTAATAGCCTGTAGTATACATGTGAGCTGCCTGTACCTACCACTTATTATTGAAGTATCGATGTTGATTATTTTGTGTTGACCGGGAGCAAAACGTCCGGGTGGCAAAAATTTGACACTTTGGAGAGAGAGGCAAAAAACAACGGGATTTTTTTTCAGAAAATAATGTGTTTTTCTGGGAGGGAAATGTGTTCTATGCGGCGGGGATCGAACTCATGATGACCTCTTGCTGCACAGATTGTCGCCGTGAGTTACTGCGCCTGTTTTCCTTATCGACGCTATGCTTCTCAGGACACAGGGAGAATATGTATATCGATTGCGATGACATATGAATGTCGTGATCCAAGTATGTGGATTGCGATCGTGTGTCGTATGTAGTATGTACATATAATATTCGAGTAGGAAATTTCGTACAATAATATTCCTTATTGCTTTTTCCGGGATAGATAGCGCTGACGGAAACCCCAATTTGCAAATAATTGGGAATGCGTAACGTATAATATGTTGTGTGACCCCGGCTGGTGCGTCAAACACAGCATTTATTTGTTGTGGATCCTGCAAGGTGTACATTGACGTCCAGATTAGACGAGACTACATGCAAAATGTACGACAGACAACAAATTTCATCATGTCACCAGGCACCCCACCCAGTGGTCTTCTAGTGGTTAACCTCACAAACCTACCGAGTTGTGGGTCTGATTCTCTCTCTGGAGCGTTTTCTTTGGCTACAACAGTTACAGAGACGATTAACTTCTTGGGTACATGCAGACTTCGTCTTCACGGTCGACGAGGGAACGGGACGGCTGAGCCCTTCATGAGATAAAAGCCACACGGCGAGTTCTGCAGCAGGAAGGTGGGGTAAAAATATTTACACCGGGAGGTGTGCAGCAGACTGGAGCCAGAACACATGGGACGAGCACACCCACACCGTCAACAGGTCCCCATTCCGTGGGACATCGGCTGCGGCATCACAACAGATACGTGCTTACTGTAGTTTGTTGCGAGAGCCGCGGCAGATGAGGAATATCACCGATCAAAATACTGCTTAAATGTGGACTTAAAAAAAGTCAGGTACAATCTACAACACGTGGGCCCGCTCACCTATTGACGGAGCCGAGGTTGTCACAAGCTACAAAATACTGGCGCCGACCACAACAAGCAACTGCTGGTTAATACCTTTTGGACAGGTCATAAAATAATTCTTCGATTCCACGAAGAAGGAGTTGTTCAACACCGCCTCGCTTCACCACAACTCCTCTTCGACATTTTTCTTCTACTGGAGTTCCAGGAGTTGGGACTCGATATGCACACAACACAAGAAAGCCTTCGGCCTCCCGCGGCAAAAGGCAATAACTGAGAGCTATATCCACACATGGTGCCTAGTGCTTGGTGGGACCTCTCTTCCAAAAGGGCGCATTCAACAAAAAGACTCAAAATAATCAACCAAGCGACTGCGGTCCGGACCGCTGCTTTCTTTGAACAAATACTGTATCATGACACTGCCGAAAAAACTACCTCTGTGGTGAACCTAATAAGCTTTGCCTTGAAGCCACCTCATCGCACACCCCTTCTCGCCCAAAACCAAGAAAACACATACCTACGGGAACAGTTGTTCCTACTGCAACGCACTCACAACTCCATATCGTAATACTACTATATACCAGTCCCTTGTAAACACGATATCAACGAACCTCATATAATGCTAGCCAACGCGGGCCCCTGTTGTCTCCTCTCCCCCCACTCTTAAAACGGCACTCTTACACCTGGACTAAATCGGATCTATTTAACTTCGATAGCCGCGGCAAATACAGGAATAATAGCATATTAAATAGAAGTAAGTGACAATTGTTTACACTTGCAGCTTCACCACAGAAGCGCCGTACAATCAACTCCTCTTCCAAGCGGGTGCTTTCCTCGCCCACGAAAGAGGGGGAAAAAATCCATTCGCACAAAAAAAATCGGGTGGAGAAATGGCAAGGAGTGCGCTTCGAAAAAAGTGTTTTAGCATTCATACCACACTAAATACGAACTGCATTCAACGTACTGTCGGGTGCACGCTATGGTGGCACCTGCCTCACACCACCCACGCCGGGGCAGACGGAAATGACACACTTAAAAAAGACTTACAGGATACAGTTAACACCCGAACCATACACGGTTCTTGAACTACTTGAACTACAGCATTCGAGTGCGCCGGAACTATATCATCAGAAATCGAAAACTGTTTCATCACGGGTAAGGCACACAAGGCGAAAGAAACTGCGGACTTGTCACCATCAACCAGTCATTCAGTCCGCATCCACCAGGGGTGGAAATCTCGCGTTTGATCGCTGCTTGATCGTCCCAAAAATGCCGGGGAACGCCATTGTGCTGTCGGGCTCCGACTCGTGCCAGAAGCGGGAGAACTCCACGTACTCGTCTCCTGGAGCATTTGCAGCACAGTTTTACGGTGATATTAGGATTCGAGTACCGAGCACGAAATAACACAACACCAGAAACGAGCCCTTTCTACACGACAAGCTCTACCACGCGCCAGTTGTTGAAGACAAGAGGTTTTGTTTTTCCTGGTCCCATTCATATCATTTCCGAAATATTTGTCGATGACAGACTTAAGCCTGTACAGTACCCCAGCCGAGTCCTGTGCTTAAACGCATCGTCGCACAAGGGTAGGGATACCAGTAGCTCCTCTGATCTTTGGCCACATGGACCGAAAACTATCCATGCCACTGCCACACACCACAACACCCCTTTACTTGGAAACCACCTGGAATCTGCTAGATAGGAGAAATGATAGGTAATGTAGCAACGTCTTCACGCAGAGCGCATCGCGCGGTGTCTGAAAATACAAAGAGAACAGGGACCGAAAGAACGGTAGTCGGCAGTATGCACTGACATGACGAAACGCCAGCCCCAAGGTGGCTGCGAATCTTGTGCTTTCTGTTCTGTTTCTTCTGCGTTTCCTGCACCCATGTGCTGTACCCCAGAATTGCCAAAACCAAGCCGCCATTTATCTTCTACTTCTTGAAACCGTACCTAGTGTATCGTGCGCCTGGGGTGCACTTACGACGCATGTGACCCGCCCGGCGGACAAGGTACTCTGTGGCCATGCCAGACAGAGCAAGGCGTGCAAAGGCTTCGTACATTCTAATCAGTCAGGATGTCAACCTCACGTTCTTGTACGCTGTGTATTTTTGTGGGCCGGTGGAGATTCACCCGTGAAGAACACACGCCTAAGCACAAATCTCTCACCGTAAACATGATTGAAGCCGGTGAGACCTGCTGCCACGAGCATTTCCTCATCCACTGGTAGTGTTCCCTCAGGCATATGTTTTACAACAGCTTCGTACAGCGAGGTGTCGAGGCGCCTCTGCTCGAGCATGGTTGTGGTGAAGGCGGTAATGTTGATCCCTGCCAAAATTCGAGTACCCGCTGAGTTAGGATGTCACCACGATGTGTCTTGCCCGGACTAAACCAATGTCACAATTCGACGGGTACAATCTGACGATTTTGGTATCGTCCTCTTGATTTTCCTTCGTGTTTGGTTCTGTTCCTACATTTGATGGCGTCGCTATATGTAACATTGCCACAACGAGGGTAATGGCAAGGTGCTGTTCTGCCCCGCTCATTTGAAAGAATCGTATGTTAGCGTTTTCCACCCCCGACCGATGTTCCTACAGTACCGTAGTCGACAGTGGAAACCCCAAGGTGGTCCAACCAGTAAAATACATAACAGCAGTATCATACTTTCACCATCCTTGGCAGTCTCTCTCGCTCATTATAACAAACGATTGGCGATCGATGCATGGGCCTCTCGTTTGCTAAGGGCGCGTGCAGCGATTCAGCGATCAAGACCTCGCCTGAGGACTCAGAGTCACCGGGAAAACCAGGCCAGTAGCTCTGCATGCTTGGTGTCAACGTTTCGTCACTCTCAAGGCATGCCGGTTGACAACACGCGCAAGAACACACGGCATCCAACGTCATCTATTGGAAACCGCACCTGCGGCAGCGAAGGGGAAGTATCGCTTCGGGTTGAGTGAGTCCGCCAGTATGCAGAGCGCCTCCCGATTCCGCGCCTCTGCGAAAAACACGAGCTGGTGCAGACCTGAGATAAAATGCCGAATACACCAGTCAAGAGGCACGTGTGAAAAATCCTTCCGAGGTACCGCGCGTCTGGACCACGTTTTGTTTGACCCCCTCAAAACTTCACCTCCACCGGCCGACCTTTCCCAAAAAAAAATCGTATGATGCCCCCTGTGTTGACACCTATACGCATTTCGTAATCACGCCAATCATGAGCCGTCTATCAATACAGGCCCGCGTGTCGTGTGTGCGACAAACTCCTCCTTCTTCATAGAAGAATAGATGGTGTAAATAATCATGACAATTTCGTGGATCTCATCACCTCTAACCCCAGCTGTCGGCACTAGGTGCGTTCTAAGCTAGCGTACATGTAGTCTACATGCGCAGACCTTGGGACAAGTGGAAGGTTGTGTTGTACAACCTAGTGTTTTGTCAGAACGGTTAGAAAGATCAAAGAGGGCACCGTAGGTAAGAGAGAATTGATAGGTAGGGATGTGTAACGGAAAAAAAAGAAAAAAAGAAAGAGATGCACCTTGCTCACAACAGAAGAAACATCTGAACGAAAGAGCAAGACCACAAGCAAACAAGAGGAGGAGTAGAAGAGAGACAGAGGAGGAAGAAGAAGGAAACGAGTGTACGGAAGGGAGGAGACAGACAGAGAAAGAGAGCAAGTGCATCGTCGGTTCGTTTCAACGTCGGCCGACCCGGCGCTTGAGCGCGGGGGCCGGGATCCTGCTGCCGAGCGCGGGGTCCCATGCCGAATACGGTAAGGCTTGGGACGTTGACACCGATGTGGCGCCGCGACGACGAGGAAGAAGAGCAAGGCAGATGGCGGGGCCAAGGAAGGGGAGAGGACGAGGGCTCGCCGCAGAGGGGCGGAGGTGAGAGGAGGAGGTCGTTGAGCCAAGGTGAGCGACCGGTGACCAGTGTAGAGGGCACGGGGACTTTGAGGATTGAGTCACGTCTATCGCCGTCCGCGTACTCAGGGGAGAGAGCGCGCCCCTCAAGACCTAGGCAGACGCGTTCCAATTCCCCAATGGTAGTTAGGCGCGACCAGTCTACTTACGTCAGCCGCCAGGGTCCGTCACGTACGCAGCATTTCCCGTCCTCACAAAGTCACCACAACAATTCCCGCGCGCACGGCGGGAGTTCGTATGGTAGGGGGGCGGGGGGGAGGGGGGGGGATGGACACGTGGGGGACGCCGGGATCGGCGCGGACGGACCAGCGCACTATGGGCCGCAAGGGGAAGAGATGGGAGCAGCGGGAGGAGGGCGCAGTAGGCCACGTGGGGAGGTCGGGCAGCCGCAGCACTATCATCAACCAGAACAGCAGCAGCAGCAGCAGCAGCAGCAGCAGCAGCAGCAGCAGCAGTGGCAGCAACAACAGATGCCACAGCAGCACCAACAGCACCAGCAGAGACCGCAAAACCAGCGACAACAGCACCGGCCGCAGCAGCAGCAACTGGAGACGCCGCCGCCCCCCCCGCCACGGCGGCAGGCGCAAGGGGCCATGAATCAGGAAGGCGTTGGCGGTGCGGTGGATTCGCCGGCGGCCGGCGCACCGGGTGGGTGGGGGGTCAACGGTCAACAAGGGGGGGGGGGGGGGGGGGGGGGGCCCCCCCCATAATTGCAAAAACCGCTGGGAGGGGAATTTTCGGG